TGGGGGAATGGGACGGTTGAGATGGAGGAAGGGTGGATATGGGAGCAGGGCAGAAGATATCTTAATTAAGGGAGCCATTTTAGGGTTGGCAAGTGTCTTGGCTCTAGAGGGGTTTCCAGGTGTCCAAGGAGATTTCCCCAGCTAGGTCCATGGACAACAGGGAAGAGGGTGCCTGAACTGGCCTTCTATCATAGACACACTGATGGATATCTTGTATATCACCATAGAACCTTCATCTAGCGAGGGATGGAGATAGAGACAGAGACCCACATTGGAGCACTGGACTGAGTTCCCAAAGCCCAGATTAAGAGCAGAAGGAGGGAGAACATGAGCAAGGAAGTCAGGACCACAAGGGGTGTGTCCACCTACTAAGACGGTAGGACTGATCTAATGGGAGCTCACCAAGACCAGCTGGACTGGGTCTGAATGGGCATGTGATCAAACCAGACTCTCTAAATGTGGCTGGCAATAAGGACGGACTGAGAAGCCAATGATAATGACACTGGATTTTGATTCTACTGCATGTACTGGCTTTTTGGGAGCCTAGTCTTTTTGGATGCACACCTTCCTAGACCTGGATGAAGGTGGGGACCTTGGACTTCCCACAAGACAGCACACCCTGACTTCTCTTATATCTAGAGAATGAGGGGGAGGGAGAGTGGGGGGATTGGGAGGGAAATGGGAGGATGGGAGGAGGTGAAAATTCTAAATAAATAATAAAAAAACCAACTGTAACTGAGCTTGGGCCTCTTCATTTATTCCAATATATTGGACATGCGGAGAGACAGAGTTTGCAAACTTGCGTAAAATAAAGGCTCTTTGCTTTTACCAAAAAAAAAAAAGAAAAAAAAAAAAAAAAAAAGAATAATGCTCCTGTGAACTTAGTAGAGCATATCTTTGTGGTTTGAATGTGCATTATTTGGGTGTACTCCCAGTGTGGTATTGGTAGAACTTGAGGTAGAATCATTCCCAATTTTCTGGGAAACCATTATACTTATTTCCATAGTGGCTGTACAAGTTTGCACTCCCACAGCAAGGGAGGAGTGTTCCTCTTACTCCAAACCCTCTACAACAAAACTTGCCATCAATGATTTGCTATTAACCATTCTGACATGTGTCTCAAGTCATTTTGATTTGCATTTCCCTGATGGCTAAGCATGCTGAACAATTGTTTAAGAGTATTTTAGCCATATTTGATTCTTCTGTTGAGACTTCCATTTATATCTTTACCCCATTTTTATGTGGATTATTTGGTGTTTTGATGTCTAGTTTCTTGAGTTCCTTATATATTTTGAATATCAGTCCTCTGTCTGATGTGGGATTAGTGAAGATTTTTTTCCATTCTGTAGGTTACCATTTTATCTTATTTACCACGTCATTTACCATACAGAATCTTCTTAGTTTCAAGTCTTGGAATTGATTCAATGTATCTGCTTTTATGCCAATACCAAGCTGCTGTTATTACTATTGCTCTATAGTAAATCTTAAAGTCAGGAATGGTGATGCTTCTAGAGGTTCCTTTATTGAACATTATCATTTTTGCTATCTGGGAGTTTTGTTTTTATATATGAAACTGACTATTGTTCTTTTGAGGTCTGTGAATAATTTTGATGGGATATTGGTGGGGATTGCTTTGAGTCTGTGGATTGCTTTTGGTAAGATTGCCATTTTTACTATTTTTACATTTATCCTATTTTGCAAGAGCTTGGGAGACATTTCATTTTATGATATCTTCTTCGCTTTTATTTTTTAGGGACTTAATATGCTCATCATATAGGTCTTTCATTTATTTTGTTAGAGTTACCTCATGATATTTTATGTTATTTGTGGCTGTCGTAAAGGATGATGTTTTTCTGATTTCTTTCTCAGCTTCTTAATCATTTGTATATAGGAGGGCTGTTTTGTTTGTTTGTTTGTTTTGTTGTTTTTTTTTTTTTGGTTGGCTTTTATCTTGCATCCTGCCACATTACTGAAGGTATTTATCATCTGTAGGAGCTCCCTGGTAGAATTTTTGGAGTCACATATGTATACTATTATATCATCCACAAATAGAAAAAATTCAACTTCTTCCTTTCCAATTTGTCTCCCCTTGATCTCTTTCTGTTTTCTTGCCCTAACTAGAACTTTGAGTACAGTATTGAATAGATATGAAGAGAGTGGATAGCCTAGTCTTGTTTCTGATTTTAGTGGAACTGCTTTGAGTTTTTCACCATTTAGCTTGATGTTGGCTGTCACCTTGCTGTATTTTGCCTTTACTATGTGTATGTATGTGCCTGTATTCTGAGATCTCCAAGACCTTTTTCTTGAAAGACTGTTGGATTTTGTGAAAGGACTTTTCAGCATCTATTGAGATGATCATGGTTTTTTTTTCTTTCCATTTGTTTATATGGTGGATTACATTGACAGATTTTTGTGGGTTGAACCATCTCTAGCTCTCTGGAATGAAGCCTACTTAATCATGGTGGATGATTTTTTGATGTGTTCTTAGATTTGCATTACCAATGTGGTACTGAGTATTTTTGCATCAATGTTCATGAGACAAATTGGTTTTAATTATCTTTCTTTGTTGATTTTTGTATGGTTTGAATAACAGGGTAACGGTCGCCTCATAGATTTTGTCAGTGTTCCTTCTCTTTCTGCTATGTGGAACAATTTGAGGAGTAAAGGAATTAGTTCTTTGAAATTCTGGTAGAATTCTGAGGTTTTTGAAGTATGACCTAATGATTCTCTAGTTTCTTTGGTGTCTATTGTTATATCTCCCTTTCCATTTATGATTTTGTTTATTTGGAAATAATCTCTCTGTTTTTTAATTAGTTTGGATAAGGGTTTGTCTGTCATATTGACTTTCTCAGGGAACCAACTTTTTGTTTCATTGATTCTTTTTATTGTTCTCTTTGTTTCTATTTTATTGGTTACAGTCTGTAGTTTGATTATTTTCTGTCATTTACTCCCACTCAGTGTTTTTGCTTCTCTTTTTAGAGAGCTTTCAGGAGTGATGTTACAGTCAGTAGTTTACAAATCTGGGTGTCCTTATATATGGGACATAAATGTTCAGAACTGATATTTCAACTTAATTCTTTAAGTAGACACTTAGTGCAATGAACTTTCTTCTTAGCACGTTGTTAGAGTGTCTCATAAATTTGTATACATTGCTCCTTCATATTCATTGCATTATAAAAATCTTTAATTTATTTTTTATTTCTTTCTTGACCCAGTGGTGATTCCCTTAAGTGTTGTGCAATTTCCATGAGAGTGTAGTCTCCATGTATTTAGTGTTATTGCTGAATTCTATTTTTAAGTCATGGAGATTCAATAACATACAGGAGATTATTCCATTTTTTTCTATCTGTTGAGATTTGCTTTGTGACCAAGTATGTGGTCAGTTTTAGAGACGGTTTGGTCTTTCATGATCTCCCAGATTTTCTGGTTGTTTTGTATTAAGAATTCGTAGGATCTGACTTTTTCTTACTAATAAATCTATCTCTTATATTCTGTTGGTTAAGCTTACATCTATGCTTCCTGACCTTTTACCCTAATTTTCTATTTCCAGAATTCCCTCAGATTGTGTTTTCTTCATTTCTTCTATTTCAATTATGAAGTATTGAACTGTTTCTTTCACCTGTTTGATTGTGATTTTCTTGGGTTTCCTGACATTCTTTAAGGATTTATTAGTTTCTCCCAATTATTGGCTGTCTTTTAATCCACTTCTTTAAGAGAATTTCTCATTTTCTTTTAAGGTGCCTCTGTCATCTTAATAAAGTACCCAAATAGGTAATTATAGGTGCCTCTGTTGATTCTTTCTCCAATTGGTGTAAGTAAAGTCTGTGTCACTGGGTATCCTCCAGTGTCACAGGGGCTGGTGGTAGAGTACACTGTCTATAATTGTCTTGCCTGCTAACAGGCTGTTGGAGATCTTCCCCCAAATGATGCAGGTGGAAGACATTCCTCCAGGGGCCTCTCATGTTATGGGTTGCAGTAGAATGGCCTCATTCTCTAATTGGTGCCGATTGTGCCTGTGACTCTCCAAGGCGCTCTCCTGCTACTTTCACTCCAGTCAGTGAATGTGGGCGGGCTGTGATTTCAGGGCAGCTGGAGATGTTGGTGGAGTGACCTGGCCACAGGAAACATTCCTGCTGATGAGCTGCTGTTTTAGTATTGGCGAGGGAGGGGTGGAAGAAGTGCCTCATGACCTAGGCACTAGAGTGCTAGGCTGTCTAGCCAGGAGAGTGGGTCTGTCCAGTCAGAAAAACAGACACTTCCCTCTTCACCCAGTCAGTGCAGGAGGTGACTGTTCCTCTGGTGCCCTCTAATGCAGCTTTGGATGGTGGTGGAGTGGCCTGGACTCAGGAGAATTGCCTGATGACTTACCACTTAGGATTGTATATGAGATGTCAGTGGCTTTGCCCTGTGCAATGTAAAGCTGAAAAGGCAGAGAACCAAAGCATCCTATAAGTTGTATCACCCTACTTCCTGGTTATCAAGAAACTAACAAAGTAGCACACTAACTAGCAAACCCAGTGAATAATCCCATTCGTATTAAAATAGATTGGGAAGATGAAATGGGATTTGTAATTATAAAAAATGTTTCTAGATAGTCCTGAGAGAGATGGCTCAGAGGGTAAAATATTTTTCCTGAATTTGGAAGGGCATGAGTTCAAATCCCTACTAACCACACTGATGCTGTTTGGAGCTCTGCCTGCAATTCCAGCACTTGGGAATATCTGTGAAAGATGAATACCTAGACTAGCTTAAAAGGTAGGTCTTGTTTCAAATTAAACTAACAGGGTGGGAAATCATAGTAATTGGCATGACTAGAGGATTAGAGATAGGAGCCAAGTTAACTGTCAAGAACAGTCTCGTGAAGAGCATGACTCAAAGGGCATATGAACATCATATGCCAGTTCAGATGTAAGATCCAACAGGAAACCACAGAACACTCTGCTCTCTTTATTAGCCTTCCTCAAGCACCAATCTCATAGCGTTCTCCAGGCTACAGAAGTCTTTCGTGTAGATGGCTGACTAAGTGGATACTTCACTTTACCACAGATCAGCTTGTCACTGCCTGTATGAAAAATAGAGGAAAGGTAAGAGGCTTCAAGAAACCATTCTCCCAAAGATTTGACCTCTTTTTCTTAGTTTGTGATTTTACCTTTAGGTGAAGAATCCAAGAATTCTGGGTGCTCCTTAGGGCACAGGAGTTACAAAAGTTACTCTTTAGCATTGGAGGTTGGCAGACATGACTTCAGGAGATTGGAATCCTATGAACTAGGACAGTGACCACTTCTTGTAATTTCACCTCATTCTTCTCTTATCTCAACTATTAGCATATTCTGTTATTGTGAAAATTATGCCAGATTGTTACAGGTACTCTCAATAAAAGCATGGTCTGTCAGTAACTCAATCACCTGTTTCCTGGAATGGGAAGTTTCCAATTTTTGTGCATTTCTCTCTTTTTTTTGTCAGGAAGATCAAATATATTTGTCAAAATAGTTCAGCATCAGTTTAAAGCATTTTTAAATGGTCAGGGAGGAAAGACAAACAAATAAAAACTCTCTGTACAAAGGACAAAAGAATCAGGCACAAGGAACAGAATGTTTTTCAAACCATATTCTGTGGTTGTGTTGTGCATGTGCATGGTCTCTCTGTGGTACATCAGGTTCTAAAGGAGTCTACTGTCTCCTTGTGACAGTGAAATTAAGTAGAGTGAAACCCGAACTCCAAAGGTTCCATTTTTATTTACTAGGCATCCTTCTTTACATATCCCCATATCCTTCATGCATAGCTATTTGTCACTCATGTTTAGTAAAAAGAGTGTTCCTAACAGTAGGTCATCATGGGAATTATGAAAATCTCAGAATTTACTTTTCATATCAGAATATATAAGTCCATAAGAACTTATCATAATATATTGTGGTAATATGCTACATGCTTTTTTTAAATTTATTTTTTATTAATTAATTAAAGAATTAAAGATTTCTGTCTCTTCCCCACCGCTGCCTCCCCTTTCCCTCACCCTCCCCCAGTCAAGTCCCCCTCCCTCGTCAGCCCAAAGAGCAATCAGGGTTCCCTGCCCTGTGGG